CCACTGACTAATGCACCGTCTCCAAAAAAATATTACGGAACTACATTCACTAGTGGGTGCTCTTTAATACTATTCCCGTTTTGTTCACAATTTTTCTTCACATGCCAATTATTTATTTAATATTTTGACATCCAATTCATTCAAATGGGGTGAGGAACAGGAGTCGTGCTGACGAAGTCTACTGAAGTTTCTTCAATGTGATGCTGTTCTCAGAACTTACTCCCCTAGTATACATTCTGTGCTTATTACTGATGCATCACCTGTGGGTATTGGTGCAGTTTGGAAGCAGGAAGGTAGACCAGTTATTTGTGTTTCACGCAAACTTACTGTTACTGAACAAGGTTATTCACAGAATCAGCGAGAAGCAATAGCTTTGTTTTGGGCTGTTAAAAGACTTCATAAATATTTATTCAGAAAGAAATTTACTATTTTTACTGATCACGAAGCTTTAAAGTTTATTTATCATCCTGAAAAATCCTGAGCACGTTCCTCAGCTGCTATGGTTCAACGATGGAGTATTGCTTTGAGTGCATATGACTATACGGTTCAGCACAAAAATGCCAAACAAATTCAACACGTTGACTACATTTCTCGACAATCATTGCAAGATAGACCTGTTGGTACAACAAACTGTTTGTTAGTGCAGCCTTTACCAGTGAGACGTCCAGATCTCATTAGAGAAACTCGTAGATACTTTGGATGTATACTCAGTGCTATACGGAAAGGCTGGAATGCTAATCTGAAACGTAGGTTTCCTGTCTATTTTTCAAAGCGGGATGAGCTATCCACTACTCCTGATGGTATTTTGTGTTTAAATTATCGTGTTGTTATTCCTCCTTCATTGCGTAAATCTGTCCTTGAAGATCTTCATAGTGGTCATTTAGGTGTTGAGAAAATGAAGTCCTTGACAAGGCTCACATGTTGGTGGCCAGAGGTAAATGCAGACATATGTCGTATGGCAAATAATTGTGAAAAATGTCATCAGTTGAAAAACCATCTTTCAAAGTGGATTCCATGGCCAGTATCGTCTGAGGCCTGGCAGAGAATTCATGCAGACTATTGTGGTCCGTTTCTTGGCAAATACTATGCACTGGTAGTCATTGATTCTTTTTCAAAGTGGCCTGAAGTTTTTTTACAACTTCACCAAATTCTGATTTCACAATCCAAGCATTAAGAAAAGTGTTTATTCGAGAATGGGTTCCCATTTTGTTAGTGACCGAAAATGGCTCTCATTTTGCTGCAGATGCAGTCACTACCTGGTTGAATGGTATAGGGTGCAAACATATGTTTACTGCCCCCAGACATCCTTGTTCTAATGGTCAGGCGGAAAATTTTGTCACGACATTGAAGACTTCTATTGATTCTATTGCCACCTCAACATTTAATGAGCTGGAGAGGGGGGTAGATATCTTTCTACTGCAATATAGAAATACCAGACATTCGGTGGCGAAAGAGACTCCAGCGAAGCTATTGAAAGGAAGAATTTTTCGGTTGAATGTGAGATGTTTGGAGTCTGCAGAAGTTACATATTATCGTGGAAATGATCTTCGTTCATCCACGGGGATTGTCCTGAAGAATATCGGGAAATCTACGGTGCGAATTCTAGATACCAGTGACTTAAGTACACACAATCGACATGTTGATCAAATACAATTCCAGGAACCAGGTTAGTCTGTTCTAATTTCGGTTTTTAATTCTAATGCTACTGAGTACATTCTAGATTATACAGAGTCCTTATCTAATACACTGTCCGACAGACACAGGATGAACTTGAGAAGACGTACAACTGATTACAGACACTTAGACTCCACTTTAGGCTGTGGCGGATGTGGTGTTTGAATGAACTAATAATACGTTTGTACTTGTTGAATGCTTGATTTTGAATGCCAAATACAGTACATTCGTTTGTGGTTATTTGGTACTTCTTGATCCGACTACGTTATTTCTGGGATTCCTAGTTCATACTATAATTCAAATACTCCTAATCACCATATCACTGCAGAATACAAAACCTTAGCGAGATAAAAGCCTGAAAACTGAATTCAGGCTACAAGCTTCTGTTTAAAAGGTGACTCGTATATACTGGAAAAAGTACGGAGACAGCTACCTGTGCAATTCCAGAACTCAGTGGTCTGCTACATAAAGAGAGGATTCAAAAGCTAGACCTCTTTAATCTCTCGAAACACAGATTTACAAATGACGATAATTCGGTGTATAGGATAATGAGAAATGATTTCAGACCTGATATGTTTGATTTTAATAGGAGTTTGAATCACCCTGTTGTTTTTATTCAGGACCTAATTTCCACTTGTTTGGACCCAACTTGTTCTCTCTTTTTTCACACTGGATCGACATCGCCGAGGATATAGCAGGGGAGTAGAAAAGGCGAGTACGAACAAAATACCCGTAGCATACAGGTTTTCACACCGAGTCATCAATACTTGGAACCTGTTACCCGAAGTAGTGGTGTCTGCAACTTCAATTGACTCATTCAAGAGAAGACTTGACACTCACAGAATGATCAGTTTCAGTTTGGAAAGGACAGGAGGCTTGATAGCCTGTGTTAATCTTGGCAATGGTGGTCTCTCAGTTGATTCAACTTTCTTTTGAAAGAGTCGACGGATGGAGCCTCAACCACGTGCTGAAATAATGAGTTCCACTCGTTGATGATTCGATGAGAAAATCGATAATCAACTGACAAGCAATTTGTTCCGGGCTTGTGAACATTTTGGAGTGTCCTCGCAAATACTATGTTTTGGAAGACAAGAAAAGAAAGGGCATATCGGGTGCAAATTTATCATTACTTACTTACTTACGCCTATTACTCCTAATGGAGCATAGACCGCAGACCAGCATTCTCCAACCCACTCCGTCCTGGGCCTCGCTTTATATTTCCATCCAATTCTTGTTCATTTTTCTCATGTCTATTTCCATTTCCCGGCGTAATGTGTTCTTTGGTCTTCCTCTTGTCCTTTGGCCTTGAGGATTCCACGTGAGGGCTTACCTTGTGATGCAGTTCGGTGCTTTCCTCAATGTGTGTCCTATCCGATTCCAGCGCTTCTTCATGATGTCTTCCTCCACTGGGATCTGGTTTGTTATTTCCCACAGTAGGTTGTTGCTAATAGTGTCCGGCCAACGGATCTGAAGTATTTTGTGTAGACAACTGTTAATAAACACCCGTATTTTCTGGATGATGATTTTCGTAGTTCTCCAGGTTTCTGCCCTAGAGTCCCTTCGAGGGCTACTGCCGGTCCCAAACCCGGATAAAGGAGGAGGGTTGGGCATGGGGTTAGCGTCCTCATCCCGTAGAAAACTAACTCACTAAAAAACGCTAACCAGAAAAAGTCATTCAAATCACGTCGCCTCGGGAAAATGTTCATCTTGGCCCGTCGAGCATCACAAGGAAGCTTCGCTATTCTGGGAATCAGCTTAGTTGCTGTACTCTGAATCTTTTCCAGAAGCTCACTGTCTTTTCTAAGCAGGAGCTGGCCGCTTGTATGCACTACTCACGTTTAGGACGTACGAACACTGTATACCAAGTCGAAAACGTTTTGGCGTCGATATGAGCCAGTACTGTTTCCCATAGTTCAGGAGTATTTTTTCTTCTTTTGTCCTTTTTTTATATAGGAATATAAGCGTTTAGGACATTCTATGGATTCCTTAACAAGCTTTCCTTCGTGCAGTTTTCTAGACTTACGGAGGGTCGAGGTACAAGTATCCTGAGCCTTTCGATACTGAGATTTTGACTCATCAGTCCCCAGTAACCTAAATCTATCTCACATTTTCCTTTTCTTACGGAGAAGGATACGGACCTCCCTACTAAACCATGGTGGTGAGCTTTTCGGCCCATTTGGTATAGTCCTAGGGATGTGGGGTGCGGTGACTTTTAAGTATGAATTTCGAAATGCGTCCCAGGCCGTTTCAATTGAGGACTCTGGGTCTATTGTTCAATTTACTAACGATGCTGAGTGCATGATATCTGGTATATTTGCTTTTCAGACGTTAGGTCTGGATTGGGCTGACGCGTGCTCGTGACTGACAGTTATATGGAAGTCGAAAGTCAGAACTGCGTGATCACTTTTCCTACGGGTGGCATGTAATGAGGGTTCGCAACATCATCCGCATAGTGAGTGGGTATCAGATCTAGTGAGGATGATTCAGAGTCCGAGTCGTACCTAGTCGCTTCTCTCACATGTTGCACTAGAGCACATGTGATAACCGCATCAACTAGTTCCTGCTCGAAGGAATTTTCTGAAGATTCAGTTCACCGATTTTCCCAGTCTACCATAGGTGCATTAAAATTCCCTAGGATTAGACATCGACCACGTTGTGATCAAGTATTGAGACTTCGTAGCAGGACCTCGCTTACCTCACAGCTTGGAATGCGATAGACCAAACCAGTCAGCAGCTCTTGTCCTTTGCATTTCAAGCGGAGACTAACTAATTCACACGTCCCACTCTCATGGGATCCACGGTCGATAATGGCAAATGGGATAGCATTCCTAATTAATAGAGCTACTCACCCCCCTTTACGCCTTTGTATTCTGTCGACTCTTACTAACGTGAAACCCTCGAAATCAAGTTCCATACTATCTATAGACTGTGCCAGCCAGGTTTCTGTGACTCTGATCATGTCTGGCTTTGTATAGTCAATCTGCATACCTAGTTCCGATCACTTATTGAGTAAGCTTCGGACATGAGTGTAACAGATCCGAAGCCTATTTAAGTGGCTTCGTTCTTCACCCAGAGTGGCCTCGACATCATTCTCTGTCGGAGCCTCACAACCCGAAAATTTACAATTTTTATGTCCTTTTCGCCAGCGTCTAACCTATGTTGTAGTTCTTTTTCGGCTTCCCGTCTTTTTACACGATCTGCCAGGAATAACATAGGCCGTGGGCCTTTTGTCCTTACTACACAAACATGAAATCTAAGGGTTTTTTTCTTCCGGAACCACTTGAATCATTCGGTTGTTTGTTTTAAATATTGTTTTCGTCTAACAGCGGGAAGTCTGCCTTGAAGTCCATCGGTGTTTGTATGTGATATCTGCTCCCGTTGTATGTGTATTATCTTTAAAGTTGTCCCAATATAACACAATACTTTTTTATGTTTAATTCTGAAGTTTCTGGAGTCTGACGGTTTTACAGAATTATCGGTCGGTAAATCCTTTGAAATGAACAACTATAAAGATTTAGGAGTCATATTAAGTAATGATCTCAAAACCACTAGTCACTGTAAGGCTGCTGCTGCAAAAGGCTATAGGGTATTATGGTCAATTCGTAGGTTTTTCCAGTATTTAGATGATGAAATTTTTAGATTACTATACCCGATTTATGTGCGACCACATTTAGAATACGGGATTCAAGCAGCATGTCCTTGTTTCAAGTATGAAGCGGATATGCTGGAAAAAGTCCAACGACGAGCTACTAAGATGGTACAAGGTATATCTGGCCTATCTTATGAAGACAGAGACACCTTAATTTATTTCCGTTATCTTACCGTAGAATACGGGATGATCTAATATTGGCCTACCGTATACTGAACGATGACCTTGGTATCAACAATGTCTTATCTTTTGCTTCTGTCTAGAACCGATCATTTGAGAAGACATTCGAAGAAGGTTCAAAAACCGAGATCAAACCGTTTACGTCTGGAGTTCCGTTTCTCGCACCGAGTAGTGAATTACTGGAATTCTCTACCGGAACACCGTCTGTTAATATATTCACAACGAGGTTGGACCTCCACAGTATTACAAACTGCAAGGATTAATATAGGTCGATAGACCTATCCTTATTACTGAAGACTGATTTCTCAATATGACAACCACTCTACAAAGTTGATTTCTCTTGATAAGGGTATCAATCTTGCTACCGAAATGTAAGGATTACCGGATGTCACAATTAGGCCGTCAGCCAAGGATGATTGTGCTAGTGAAATTACAGGAAAGCCGTCGTATGCCGTTGCACTGCTTTAACTTTCTAATTTAGTTAGCTAGTCAGAACTAAGTGGAAAGGACCACTGTCCAGCCGTGTCATAGGAATTTCGAAATGGTTGTGTATTGTCATTCTAAGAAGAGTAGCATTCATGCCTATAGATACTAAAAGATTGTATTTAAGGATCCAAAAGCAAGATGTGGCGGATACAGCTTTCAAAAATTTCATAACTGCGCTTAGTTTGGTTTTATAGAATATGAAAACTTTGAAGGTCTTTGGTCTAGGTAAACGTCACAATATATGTTATGCTTTTTAAAACGTATTATGAGGTAATGTGGTGAGAGCAATTTATGGACGACTTTTGAGCAACTCTAAAGTGACCTTCAGCGTGTCCATCTTCTGGCTAGGACTAAATGATGGTCACAAACCAGCGTGAGGAATTCGTATTTTGATTTACAGTTGGTGGTTAGGGCTAGGAATTAGACTCGAGGTTTTCATCACGAACTGACATCAGCTAAAATGCCAAAACACTGTTTAGCTAAACAGATGTATTTCGCACCAAATTCCAAGACCTGTTATCCCAAATATGATTGGTTCGTTCATAGCTTATAGTCGCTGGAAGTATTCTCGTAGTACATATTTCTAATGTGAAAGGACTCGGTAGTTGGGTTGTTTAGACATCTTAAAGGGATGTTTGTACCAGATTAGATACTTACATAGACTCATTAGAGCTACTCAACTCTTATGGAATCTACACTCGAAGTTGAGGTTGTCACCACTGTGAAGTAGATTTGTTGCTCAGCAAATGGTTATGAACGGAGTAGACTAGATTGGAACCTAAGAATAACGTACTCAAAACGGATAGAAATGGGTAGTATAAAAATGTTATATTAATATGTACGGCAGTTTGATTTAATTTCTTCGTAAGTATCTTTGAAATCCTCCTTTAGGTATCTACTCTTAATTGAGATGAGTAAAACATCTGAAACAAGGCATCTTGCTAGTCTTTAAAGTGACCGAATACCGACTAATATTGCATACTCGTTAAGTGATGGTCGAGTTGTGAGTGTAGCTCAATGGCGATTTCATTGGGTTATGATCTCAATTTTCCCTGTATTTGTGAGTACACGTTTCTTCCCTATAACTTTATTAAATTAGTCAATTTTTGTGTAAATGAATATGTTGATTTGTAGCAAATCTTCAGATTGCGCGTTAAGTTGGCTCCTAATTATTGTGCAATTTTTCAGGCTATCTGTTGGCTCTAAATAAAGCTTTTAAATTCTCGATTCGAAACATGCAACGCACTACGAAGAAGTTGGCCGTAACTATCGAACATTGGTATGTTTCAAAAGCATCCGTATATATATATATATATATATATATATATATATATATATATAGGACAAACAGTAAAAATTAGTGAAGTGGAAAAGTTTGATTGAGAAAAATGTATTCATAAAGGATTCCAGCTATAGACGTTACTCTTATATGACGAAAGAGTTGCTGTAGTACCACCACCGGCTTCTATTCTGCGCCATTTCTGATAACGGCTCAAGCCATTGTTGCACTAGCTCTAGGACCACAACCAGGGAGTCGTGAAGGCCCAACAGAAGCCAGTCTTCTACAGCCTTCTTTCATACCACGACACTTTACCATACCCGGACCACCGTTTTTCTCTAACCAGGTCTAGCGTCGACAAATAATGCACGGTGTGGAATCCATTGGACAACATTCGTAGTATATGTCCAGGCCTTCAATGTCAGTGTTTCTGGGTGGTGACACTAATTGAATCATCGTCACTGTGTCTGAACACATATTACTAACGTGGTTTTGCCACTGGATGTCAACAATAATCAAGCATAGTCACCTAATATCCTCAACTTAGACAAGCCAGGTTTCATAAGCATAGGGTAAAACTGCCAATATATCCATTCAAGAATTTATTGTTTTCTCCTGTTGGCTTTATGATGATCTGTATTAAATCGTAAGGATGTTTCTTCTAGACAGAAATAAGCGAAACAAGATATTTCAGGATAACCAGCCAATAATTTGGCGAAGCATCATTTATCGGTTTCAAGTTATATATAAAATGTTACGTTTTCTATGGATAACCAATAATTTGTTACGCTAAGCTGCATTTATAGTCTATTGTATGTTCTTCCAGGCTAATCGTTTGCCCAACATCATTTTCGGCCTTGGTTTTCTGTGTCATTTCTCCAGTGTGGTTAAACAGTTAATAAAATAAATATCTATATTAAATCCAAGGTTAGCTTCGCTCAATAAAACAAACTTAGTGTGATTATAATTTCCAAGTTATCGATAACTGGAATTATAGATCTAGTAATTTCAGTTGATTATTTAAAAATTTAACTGTAAATATGTTTAAAGATAACTAGATATTGAACTGAGTTGACGTTACTGTGTGTAAATCAACAATTGTTTCTTGCCCATTATCAGGATTTAGTTTTGAGATGTATAACTAATCATTATAACTTTTAATAATCGAATAGATTTTCAAAATGACTATTTTAAAATTGTGTAGTGGAGGATGAGGGTATTTCCCTCGAGCACAACGTCTCGCAGTTACAATCAAGCAGAAATGTAGATCAGCTTCTGTAAATATTCAGGAAGGTCGGTCAAGTAAGTTTGCTAATTTAATGTTTAGGATTCACCTTATCTTGAGGCACTTGTATAAAATCCTCTTAATATTTAACCTAACAGCCTCCCACCTTTTGTGTATACGCGACCAAATATACTATTTCTTATGGGCAAACACTTATCAACTACTTGTTTGGTGTATGTGCGATCGGAGCATAACGTTCTCTGTAGTTTCGCATCAATTTAGTCAAATTATGCTGTATCAAGTGCCCAATGTCTATATCCTTTTTTCCCTGTTTATGTATATATTACATATTATAGGTAGTCACAATCAAATTCATTTATCTCAAAAGCTTGAGTCCCCTGTTTTACAACTTGTTTTGACTGGAGACTAACAGACTAATTTTCGTGTGCAAAGACAGTTACCCGTACAGTGTCCATATATATCAGTCCCCAAATACTGTACGGGTATTACGTAAATCACAAGTCTTTAGACTTCCTAGATCGATATCAATGTAAGTCTCACTTGATTTCATAATAGCTCGAAAACCCATAAAACTCAGTCCTTAAAAGCTCTTCATGGAAAACTCATATATGAAAAGCATACATCTATCACTATTGTTGCCACCACAACACTTGTAGAACGTCCTAAAACTGAAGAAACTTCCCATTTTTCTTAACAGTACAGACTTAAATTCACTTGATATTGTTTACTTGAGTCTTCCCATTGATGCTTAGGACTCCAATGCCCTGGTACGGCCGAGAGTGGGGTGAGTCCGCTCTCCCTCTTGAAATGCTCCAACATGGCCAGGCGTATATCCTCTGCCAGGGAAGTCCTACTCATTGCCTTCTCGTGGCGGGGGTGTTGTTTACGAAATTGACAGGACGAAAAGCGAATGTCTGGCGCTTTAACCGCGTTGATGGACATGGAGAGTCCACATAGGGGAGTTGGAAAACCCTAATTCCAAACCAGTGCTCCACATGGGCTCCATTATCCTGAAGGAACAAATGGCGTATGAACCAATCGTTGGTCACCGGCTATCATGGGACTGCATCTCCTTACGATGCTCCAATGCCTTGTGAATCAGATCTTTAGGTCGAAGGCTCCGTGTGTTGTCCCCTAAGCAAATAAATAAATTAGGACTGCAATTGATCAGTCTCTTATTGATATATGCACATACTGTTCACATTGCCTCAGAATTGCCTTGATTCATTAGCATTCTGAATAATGATGGATAGTGTCTAGTGTGGAATCCAGGACGCATGTTTCGTCCCGTTTAGGGCTCATCAGCTGGATATACCTGCATCATTCCGGGTACTCAAGGCCAGTGCCGTTTACTTCAAACTCCATCGCGTTAGCCACTTAGTCCCAGAGTGAACCAACTACGGCGGTATACCCTGCGTCTAACCTCACTATATAGGCTAACCTCTTCTTCATGACGACAGATGTTTATCAAAAGTTGTTGGATCTACAAGTGACTGAAAAACCAATCATCTCTTATGGTAAGTGGTACGTTTATCCGAACATGAGTTATGCGAACCTACAAATTATATCAGCTAATGAGTGAGTAGTGTATGAATTTTACCTAAATGTCTCACGTTAACTCAACAAGAAATGGAATCTGAAGATGTAAGGAATCAGTTTAACTTAACAGTAGCTTGATCATGTTTTAACAAATTACTTATTCTGAATTAGAACAACATATATAAGCGAACAATTTTATTCTCAATTAGATCATCAGGCCTTACTCTACTGTACAGTAATATTTATATGCATATACGAAAGTAAGTAAACCAATCAAGACAGTTTGTAAGTCAGTGATAACAGTGGCATAGATTACGTAGATAAACATAATAATCGAAAAGTAAAAATTGATGATGTAATGACAGGTGTATTAGCTGTGATAGGAATAAGAAAGGCTTGAATCGATATTTCATAATAGGAAATAAACCAATGACTTGAATAATGTAGACGCTGGAATAACATTCACAAGAACCATAAGATTACGTAACAAGAAGTGTTCAAATAATTGGACAATGAAGCGTATATTCGGAAAAAGGGAGGGTGAAGAAAATAAAGAGTATGTAAAATAATAATTGATCCGGAACTCATATGACGGACTACAGTGCAAGGTCGTGCATGGAGGACAGCTGACAGATGCATTCCAAGTAAGGACCGGAGGCAGACAGGGCTGTTTACTCTCCCCCTTCTTCTTTCTTCCGGTGGTCGACTGGATTATGAAGACCTCGACATCTGAAAGAAAACATGGAATAACAATGGACAGCTCAGAATCAATTAGACGATTTGGACTTCGCGGATGACCTAGCCCTCTTATCGCATACACACGAACAAATGCAGATAAAAACAGCCAGTGTAGCAGCAGTCTCTGCATCAGTAGGCCTCAGCATACACAAGGGGAAAACCAAGGTCCTCAAATTCAAAGCGGAGAACAGCAATCCAGTCGCTCTTGATGGCGAAACTCTGGAAGATGTAGAATCCTTCACATACCTGGGAAGCATCGTCGATGAACAAGGAGGTTCAGATGCAGACGTAAAGGCGAGGATTGGCAAAGCAAGGACAGCATTCCTACAATTGAAGAACATATGGAACTCAAAACAACTTTCAACCAATATCAAAGTGAGAATCTTCGATACGAACGTCAATGCAGTTCTACTGTATGGAGCTGAAACTTGGAGAACTACAACAACTACAATCAAGAAGGTACAAGTATTTATAAATAGTTGTCTACGCAAGATACTCAACATTCATTGACCGGATACCATCAGCAACAGCCTTCTGTGGGAGAGAACAAATCAGCTTCTAGCTGAAGAAGAAATTAGGAAAAGTCCATGGAAATGGATAGGACATACATTACGCAAATCGTCAAACTGCATCACGAGGCAAGCCCTAATTTGGAATCCTGAAGGGAAGCGGAAAAGAGGAAGGCCAAAGAACACATTACGTCAGGAAATAAAAGCAGATATGGAAAGGATGAATAACAACTGGAAGGAGCTAGAAAGGATCGCCCAGGACAGGGTTGGATGGAGAATGCTGGTGAGCGGCCTATGTTCCTTCATGAGGAGTAACAGGCGTAAGTAAGTAAGTAAGTAAGTAACAATAATAATTAAGATCGTTTATTAAGGCTAATTCGGCCAATGAAGAGATAGAGGTATTATAAATTCCTTATGGATACAAAGGCTTGCATAAATGTACCGCTTACTATAAGTGATGATTGGTTTTTCTTTATTCACTTATTGTATTTTGTTGATTAGTGAGGTTATTAAACCAACTAAACGATAATATATTATTACGATGTTTCATACACATAGTTCCCTTTATCATTTTGAAAAGAGCAAGAACAAAGATTCTAGCAGAATAACATGAATTCATTTTATTTCGTAGGTTCTCGTCAACTGCTTACAACCTGTGGTATTTAAAAAGATAATAATTACATAATGGGTTTAAATTGCTTACATGAGGGTTTATATTGAAGAAATATTCGTAAAGTATGACATGGGTGTAAATGAAATATTGTAAACATATACCTAATGTGAAAGAATATTCTAGAGCATTAATTGCGACAACAGTTCAAAAGGGTTAGAAATAATTGATTACATAATGAATAAACATTGATAGGAATATAGTGAGTAGAGTTCAGTTGAAAGATTATTAATTTTTTTTAAAGATTGTTGAAAAATAAAGCCAATGACGTAATAAATATAAAAGATAAAAATTTGAAAAATATTAAGCTGCAGCGGAAAAATATTTGTCACCAAGGCAGGGAAAGATTAACAATCATCTCCTTTTGAACACATAAGTCAGGTTTTTGGCGCCTGATAGCAACTGCTTCAGCAAACTTCAGAAGACTGGAGTTTGGCTGCTTACTAATCACCTTGGATGATTGTAGGGTGTCAACCTGATGGCCTGTGTTAAGGAGATGTTTAGTGATTGTACTACTTAGAGTCTTTCTTTCTCTTGTTCTGAGACTTTTTAAACATGTTCAAAAAATCTGAGATATACCATCCTCTCTATTCGGCCAATGTAGCTGCTTTGGCAGGCACATGTAAATTTATAAATACAATTGGTGGTAACATGAAAAGGATGCTTATCAACCTTTGATCGAGTTATTGAACATGTTGTTTTATACAGAATTTGAAGTTTGGCCGCCGGACAGGTTCTGGCTAGCGCAGTATTGAGTCTCCTGTTAATTGTGTTAGCAACATCATCACCTTTGAAGTTAAGACTTATAGTTATTGGTTTTTTATTGACAGTAATTACTTCAGTATTATTTTCTTGACGCTTTTTATATTTGTCAATAAACTTTTGTGGGTAACAGTTGTCTCGTAGGCATTTTTGCACGTTCATCAATTCTTCTTCCAGCGTATCAGTGGTACATATCTTTTCTGCCCTATAAAATAGTGTTTTAACTAGTGCCTTCTTGTAGCTGAGTGGTATATATTTACAGTATTCAGCCTATTAATTTCATTTACACCCATGTCATACTTTACGAATATTTCTTCAATATAAACCCTCATGTAAGCAATTTAAACCCATTATGTAATTAATATCTTTTTAAATACCACAGGTTGTAAGCAGTTGACGAGAACCTACGAAATAAAATGAATTCATGTTATTCTGCTAGAATCTTTGTTCTTGCTCATTAGGATGTTTATTTGTATTTTTTATGTTTGGCTCAATGTTCAGTTATCAGTCACTCAGAAATGCTTTTTATTGTTTGAAATTGATATTATGTAATCAACATGTATCCTTGATTTTGTCGATGTTTATTATTACAGTCGTCATGTATACTTCAAATGAATACCGTTGACGTTAAGCTATTTCGTTTTTTCTATTACCTTTGCCCGCTAAAAGTAGTACAATGTGAAATAAGTTATGCTCTGAATCTTATTATCCTGACACTCGTCAAATGTTTCATTTTTACCTTGTCTATGTAAGAGATAATTTTTTATGTATTTCTTAATTCGGCTCGTATATTCGCTTAAAGAGAAAGCAACTACCGATATTGTTAACCAATGTAGAAATTTAGGAAGAATTATCGTTAAGGCGTTAAAATAACGGGATTTTAAATCTAGTCGATAATTGTCGGATTATTATAGAGTATTTCAATTCTGAAATTTTACCTACTGATCTCATATCAGTGTGATTCAATTCCAGCTTTGAATTCCTTTTTAACAGTTACTGAATAGTTTAAGTAGTTGGTATACTATGATTTCTTTCATGACTACTTATTATCTTCCAGGATCTTTCGAAATCACCGTAAATGGAAATCTAATTTTTTCAAAACTAAAGTGTGGTAGTTTTCCTTCAACAGAAGCCGTAAGTTATTCTTACTTTTTTTCAAAGTTAAAAGAGTAACTTTACATTATTGTTAATTTCTACACATCTATATTTGGACAGTACGTTTCCCAGGGGAAATTCAGTGAATAATCAGAAACAGATTGATGAATTTCGAGTTGTTAATTTTATCAAGAAACATGGAGATAATGCGATTTCGATTTACTTGAACTTTCTCTAAATATTTTATGTAGACGTCTTTCAAAATTGCACTTCCTGGTTATTATTTAGGTATTTATTTCACTGGATCATACTCTTTGAATAACATCTTCAAACCCTAATCTATCCGATTACTGCTTATACTCTTACCGCCTCTATCACTACGGGATTTGAATCGACAACTGCATCTCTGTACTAATGTGGTATGGCAACTTGAACTGATGTACGTACGTACGAAGTTCTACGTTGTTACTGACTGACTGACTGATTAGAGTAGACTTGAGTTTAGTGGATTATATACTAAGTAAATTACCTCACTTAAAAATTGCTTTCACTAATAGTTTCCTGTTGTTATCGAATCATTAGAAACTACGGGAATTATTATTGATTAACCTAAATTTTCAAATTTTCTCAGTACTGAATGCATTTTACTTAGTCCCTATATTTTACAGCTTGTATAAAATTCGCGAATCACTGATGTTAGAAATTTATTTTTCAGATTTTTCACTGTTATTTATTTCCTAAACCATAATGTCAGTATAAGAAAAGATAGGCAAACAGATAGGATTTTTACACAAGTATATTTTAGTGTAAATTACATCAAAGCCCAATGTAACCAATAGTCCAAGTTACTTAAATTTCTTGTACATTAAATGATAAGAGTTTCTCGGTCAAGTGACCTTGCTCGATTCAAATTTCATGATATTCAATAGGGTAGATTTTATCATCATTCATGTTTCTATTTTCCACGATGAATTTATCAGTGTTTGATGACACTAACTTCTAGTCTCAGCCATGTTGGTAAATGCAGACTACTTGGTTTTGTGGTCCACGTGACTATCGTAACCAATGGTTGGAGACTCTTGGTGACATAGCTCAGAATCGGTCACAATGGCGTAGTTGTATACACTCTCTGTTTTCTCTTAAACAGTGAGATTAAGATCACTTAATATCTTTCTTTTTACGAACTAATTCTTTCTTCTTGTACTATATGCTTATATGCAATCTTTGTTCTATGTATTACTACCATTGAATTAACTACTTCTATGAATCCGGTGTTCATCTTGTTGTGTTAATGAGGTGTGGCAACTTTGACCGATGCATAGATGTGCTTGGTCCTACGTTGTGGCTGACTGACGACTGACTCAATTTAATTAAACACAAACACTGGTACATAGAGAGGCACCAAATAGATAAGCGTCACATGAATCATTCGATTTTTGTGGGGGTTGGGATACTGTCTGGGTGCCCAAACCGAAGTAGGTGACTTTCTTAGGAGGCTACACCCGGAGCCTTTGTTATTCAGAAGGCAGTGGAGTATCATGAGGGGCTGCAGTCCTATGATAGCCGGTGACCAACGATTAGTTCATACGCCATTTGTTCCTTCAGGATCATGGATTCCATGTGGAGCATCGGTTGGGAATCAGGGTTTTCCAACTACCCTATGTGGACTGTCCATGTCCACCAACCCGGTTAAAGCGCCGGACATTCGCCTTTTGTCTTCTCAATTTCGTAAGCAACAGTTGAATGACATGGCTCAAAATCGTTTGCAATGGCGCAGGTGCATCCACTCTTTGTGTTGTCCTAAATTCTAATCTTCTGAATTGTTCGTATCCCTTTCTTTTTTCTCTTTCCAAATTTATTTCACTGGATTATACTCCTTGAATAATATCTTGAAACCCTAATCTTTTTGATTACTATTCTTACTACCTCTACCACTACAGGATTTGAATCGACAACTGCATGTCTGTGCTAATGTGGTATGGCAACTCGAACTGACGTACGTACGTACGAAGTTCTACGTTGCTACTGGCTGACTGAAGGCAGTGAATAAGATTTCTCTGTTAGTGGTTGTATACATGTGGCCGTGTGGAAGCATTTCCAGAGGGAGAGCTGGCGCTCGGCCGCACCAGGGCGTTTAGGGTGCAAAGTATTTTTCGGAGTCGGGATTCGAACCCACGTTCACTTCGTGGATCAGAACACCGAGAAGAATACTCGAGTTTGACGCCTTAGACCACTCAGTCACTATGACGTTAATAAGCCAGAGACACGCGATATTCTCACCTGGTCTACCGATGCAAGTATTGAATAATGTCAACGTTGTTTAACTGTGGTAATCGGACGAGAACCGACGCTTCCAACGTGGTACGGTCACCGACACTATACCCATATTTATTAGTTTAAGCAGTCAAACTTTAATTCTGTTTCATGTATATTTATATATATACTTAATACATAATCATATACTATTTAATTTATGTTACTGTTAGATCATTTCTGAATTGATTAACATTGAGAATGGTGAAACACCTAATGAAGTAATTGAATATGAATCATCCAATTGTAATTTACTTTAGATCATTAATTCTTTTTTTATTTTATAATTTTTAATGTAAACATGAAAACTAAGACAAAAATAATTATGATGTGTACAAAGTAAAAAAAAATATTTATTATTAACCTTTGTATACTGATGTGATATTGTCTAGTTTTCAGGGTTTTCTTTACTACTATTATGTGTGGTACTTGGTATGATTATTATTATTATTATTCCTATTGTTTATTGTTTATTTATGTTTTGTGCATCTTTATAAATTTGTTGCTGATTGATTGATTTATTGATTGATATTAATTTGTTTCATTGTTCAGTTTGTTTATTTTATTTTATTTTTTCTAAAAAAATGTTTAACTTGCTTTTTTTGTAAACATGTTTTGTTTTGTTAGTTACATAGATTGATTATTTTTAAACAAAATAGATTGATAATTCAGTGGTTATTATCAATTGTACATTTTTCTTTGATAATTCGTTATTGATTGCAGAACTTTCGTCTAAATTCGAATGAATAATGAGACATTAAAGAGGAAGGAATATGTATTTGTGCAAATCTCACTGAAAGAATTTGAAGTAAATCCAACATTTCGTCTGGCAATCTGATCCAAGCTTTTTGAAGGAAAATATTTTCTTTGAAAAGACTAGGTTTATGTATGTGTAAGATCTTTCTAGTACTTCAATCTATGCTTCTTATCTATCTGCTTTATATCATATAGTAGGATTATTTGTTGCTACTACGATATTCTACATTTCTTCAACGTTATAGATCATCTTTGTAATTTTAAACTCAGTCGGTATAAAGTCATGTTATACGTATAGATGATAGCAAATAATCTGTTAATGCTATTGTATAGTGAGAAGCAGTGACCAATGGAGTTCAACCGGGTCAGTTGTGAGGTAGTAACTCACTGATGACAATGGTGGATGCGTTGCACAATTTCGTGGACTAGTTGAAGTTGGACATTGACACAGTTGGATGCCGGCTCAGTGGTCTAGTTGGTTAGGCGCCTGGTGCGAAACGTATAGGTCCTGGGTTCGAATTTTGTGAGGCGGCGTTGTTGGATGCACACTGCTGAGGAGTACCTCAATAGGACGAAACGGCTGTCCAGGTTTTCCATGGTGGTCTAGCTTCAATTGACTCATGATCTCAACTATTGATACTGAACATTTCTTGTGAAGTGTTGGTGGTACATTTAATTTTTGAATCTTGATCGTTGTATTTGAATTAATTTGCCTTCCCTTGACCCTATATCTTTATTAATAAATCAGGTTTGCAGATAAATAAGATCAATGTGGTCGTTGGATTTAATCCTTTGTATTACTAAAAACGTTCATTTAGATAAAAAAGTAATATCTGATACGTAATTCATTGTATACTTATTCAGTAATGATGATAATCTGCATTTGATAACCCTCTCTTATAGTACTGGTATTATTTTGGTCGGCTGTTGAAATATATATATCTATTTTTGAACAAAGTAACTTCATTTCAATCAGCTCATACCAATTCTTACCATTAAAGATACCGATTTATCAATTGAAAGGAATAAATAAATTTTTACTGAAAGGAGATAAAGAAAACATCTCAAAAATAATACTCCAGTGTTTAAAGTAATGAACGATTGGTTTCGATCTCAGTAGGAATCGCAATCCGTCAAAATCTAGACGCAATCTACCAACAATTTATAAATGTAACAAGATTGAATGAATAGTGGTCTTGAGTGCTGTTAGCGGTATGAGGGCGGTTATCACTTCCCGGTCGCCCACACCGTGGAAGTGTCCTTCTGGAGATACCTGAAAAGGAAATTGGGTCAGAGGCGGTCTTAGTGACCTGAGAGCGTTACCGCAGTGCCCAAGGGACAACTGCTTGAGGTCGGTCACACACGACCTTTTTATGAGTAACTTCTGTGTTAGCTCCGTACTTGTTGAGACCTTACTGCTGGAGACGGATATCCGTGGGATAAGGCGAGGTGTGCATTTTTAAGGTTGACCTCTAACCCCACCCCTCCTTGTGGGAAGGCAGCATCACTGTCTGTTGTTTGAAGGAAACACCTTACTGCTGTCACACCTCTGTACAGTCAGCAGCACGACTTCGCCTTCGGACCTTGGGTTTATTGCTTTTATTCATACCGCTCTTCAATCGACCTGTCTGACATGGTAGGACCTTGAGGAACGGTTGTTCCAGCAGGTGTAGCTCGGTTGCTTCATCACGACAGGCAAGCCCGACCACCAAGTCAAGGTAACAAGATAACAGTTCTGGATCCCATTGCTAATCACTTAGCGAAGAAAAAAGTATTTCTAGTCACTACGCAGCATCTATTATTTAGGTTGTCGTTGACTTGATTAGATGAATTCAAATGATAGATTAAATTTCTAGTCATTAGGATTTTCATAAATAACTTACAATCATTTATTTGCAAATATTAAATGTGGCCAACGAAATTTAGTTCTTAACGTGAGTATTTAGTTTAACAATAATTATTTAGAATGTAGTAAAAAACAATATTTCATATTGTATTATTGTGGTGCGTGTTACTTATATTGACATAAGTAGTATATGACGCGAGTCAAGAATGTAATGTCTGGCAGCAGAAGACTGGGATGATCAAGAAAGGAAGAACAGGGGTAGACAGCAATTAGTATGGAAATGCAAGAACAATGAAGTCCGAGACAATTATTGAACATTTTGCAAGTTAGGTATTATAGCATGGTTTTTCTATTTTACCAAGTAACTCTGGATTGTTGTGCTAAAAATAATTTGGTTGTCCTCACCTGTGTTCTCCACTACATTTCAATAAAGAAATGCTGAACTGAATACAAACAGGTTGAATGGATGATAATGAATATAATCAGTTGCAACTGGACTTTACTTATTCATCTAATCCTTAAGTATCGTACTCATCAATAACAAAGTACATTGGTCTGTCCAACTAGTTATAGTTAGGCATTTAACTTCATGTTTCTATGTCATTCTTGGCCTAATTTTAGCTTCCTGATAGGATAAATGATTAATATAATACTATGTTCTAAGACATCAGATGATCATTGGACTACGGTAGCAATAACGAATATATCTAATTTCATGCAATTGGTTCTGTTTATAAATTTGAATACGCCCAAGTTAACATCGAAATTTATACACAGTTCACATTAGTCCACTTTGTAAAAAATGTCGGAGTCAGTTGCGTCAGTCTTTAATTTAACTATTTGTTTGATGGTATGAATCCACGAAGTACCCTGGTACGGCCGAGAATGGTGAGAGTCCGCTCTCACACGGCCACATGCATGCAACCACTACCAGGGAAGTGCTACTCATTCCATTCTCACGGTGGGAGTGTTGTTTACAAAATTGAGAAGACGAAGAGCGAATCTCCGGCGCTTTAACCTGGTTTGTGAACACGGAGAGTCCACCTAGGGGGGTTGGAAAACCCTGATTCCAAACCAATGCTCCACATGGGCTCCATTATCCTGAAGGAACAAATGGCGTATGAACTAATCGTTGGTCACCGGCTATCATGGGACTGCATCTCAACATATAAAGGTTTAGTAAATGATTTATCTTCCATTTGTGCATACATTCACAAACTTGTAAATGGCTAATTACAAAACGAGGAGGGAGTGTCTAATTAATTTCTAATGAATAAACAAAATTCATGAATTAATGACAATTACTATAATTAATACTTAACACAAAATCTGTAAGCAAGTAGACATAATTACTTAACTATTGATATTGTTACTGATGTACGGGGATGATGGAGATTGTTCACATTGAAGATAGTATTAACGAATACAGAAAACACTAGGTATCCAGTTTGTTCACGTTTAATGCTTCTTCATGATGGGAACAGAGCTTTTCATAAAATCGAACACAAGACCTACAGTCAACATGATGAGTACAACACTTGTAAGCCAGTGAATCAGCATTCAGAGGTTTAGTTCGTTAACTTCAGTTAATTAGCTATATAAAGGCGCTGATCATCCAATTCCATTGGTGATAACACTTTCACTTCTGAATTACGTGGATCCTAATAAAGGAATCATGTTACTCGGACGAACCTATCTCAGTTATTGCACCTGAAAACTGGTGACCTGTCTAAAAGTTTGGGATAGCTATTTTCAAACTGTACAGGTACTGCAGTTATCCTTCATGTTTTAGATTTGTTTACCTGCTTCGGTTTGGGCACCCGAGCAGTATTACAGCCCAAACACACAAATATGACGTGGCGCATATATATTTGGTGCCCTCTTGTACCAGTATTTATGTGTTGAAATAAATAAATAAATTAGATTTGTTTGAACGAGATAACAGTGAATGCTGAGTGTATCTACTCACATATGTGGAAATTATTGAAATGTTAAATACTAAGAACACTACAGTCGTTAGTATATTTTTCTTCTTATCCATTCCTTAAAAAAACGAGACCAATATATTGGAATCCGAACACCTTATTTATATGACAGAAAAAAGTGATTCTGTCATTTGAGCTAGTGAAGAACTTTAATAACTGGACTGAGTTATGTTGAGTTTTAAATCATTATATTGCTGGTATGTACATTTTAAGATTACTGCCAAGTGACTATATCATATAAGCTGTACATCGTAGAGGTATGATTTGTCGTAAGATCTGTTACTATGAGATATCGGATAACAGTGAGTTGTATATTAGTTGATAGATGGGTGATAAGTGCTACTAATGTTATTCAAAGTGATATTTATCAGAGTTTAAGGTAGATGTAAGTGGTGTAAATGGAACGATCAGGACAATGTACTTTCACACTGGTAGATGGACAATTATATCTCACGAGAAAGTACAATTGATAATAGACCGACATTAACAGTTTACAAGGCCAATGTAAATTTGGAAGTGAGAGTGGGTTGCAACTATTTTGTATCATCTATATGTAGTTGTAGAGATTGTTGAGTTTTTTTATGTTAGACCACCGTTGAAAACCTGAAAGCACTGGACGGTCGTTTCATCTTAGTATGGGAATACTTAGCAGTGCGAATCAATATTTCCTCAC